ATAAAACCAATACAAACACTTTTCAGACAATAGGCAAAGAGTAATTCCTCATCACGCATCACGTTTTAAACTATCACAAAATATAACTGCATGTGATCCACCGACTCTGCAGTCAGTAAATGAAATATTATCCAGCATTCCTTCACGAGAGATACCCATAACTCCAGAAGAAATGCAAACATTGCTACAAATTGATCTAGATAAATTTAATGTAGTAACAATAATTAACATCAAAGTATTTGAAATACTGACAAGCCAGCATCCCAACCGGCCCTTCATAGAATACCTCACAAGAGGAATCAAAGAAGATTTCAGATTCAATTTTTTAGGTACACGTACAAGAAGAATCCAGGAAAACTTAAAATCAATCGATCTGGATTCAGAAGCATTCAACAAATACATCAAGGATAAGGTAGAAAAAGGCCAAATGTGTGGTCCATTCTCAATAAAACAACCCCATGTGACCTGTTTCAAGTGAATCTCTGTGGCCTAGTCAAGAAAAAAGACACAATACCCAAGACATTTCACGTTATATCTCACCTATTAGCACCATTTGGTTCAAGTGTTAATGATGGTATTGATCATGTAGATTTTGAAACAAGATACGAGAATGTTAGCCACGCAATAAGATGGATCAACCACTATAAAAGAGGGTGTGTTCTGTCGAAGATTGACATTAAGGATGCATATCGCATACTTCCGGTATATCCATTAGATCAGGTTCTGCAAGGAATAAAAAATAGATAATAAAATATACTTCGACAAGGCCTTGGCTTTTGGCAACAGAGAATCTGGAGGTATTTTTTGTAGATTTGCAGATGTAATCACATGAATAGCCACGCAACAAGACATAAGGTCAATAATCCATTATGTGGATGACTTCCTAATAATATCAAGACCTGATGGTCAGAAAGAACTGCAACAATTTTTACGGATACTCAACATAATGAACATCCCATATAAGGAATCAAAATTAGAGGGCCCTGACACATGCATACCATTTCTCAGAATTATGATAAACACAAAAACAATGTCAGTATCAGTGCCATCCCTAAAACAACAAAAAATGCGTGAGCTACTAGAAAACTGGGCCACCAAAAAATGGTGCCGAAAAAGGGACCTTCAATCAATTGTTGGCTCTTTAATGTGGATGTGCCAGGTGCTTCCCCAAGGAAGACCATTCGTGCAACATCAGATAAAAGCACAAGAAACAGTCAAAAACCCCAAACACCATATACGCATAACTAATCTGATGACTGATGATATCCAGTGGTGGTGTAGTATAATAGAAAAGTGGCCAGGCACTTACTTAATAGAAGATCAAGATTGGCAACAGTCTGAAATAAACAACCTCTATACAGACGCATCAAATATCAGGGGTGGGGCAACCTTTGAGAGCTATTTTACCACATTTAAATGGTCCTGTCAAAACATAACTAAAAATCACAACATTCAGGAGCGCGAACTACTGACTACGCTCATAGCAATTCGCACCTTCTCACCACTCTGGTCCAGGAAGAAGCTAATTATATGGACTG